TCCACCTCTGTCATCCAATAAGAAGGAAACCGATCGACACTCTTAAAGTCACAGCATCTGTTCTCTCTCTCTGTGTGGATTCACTTTGATCACAGGCAATAATCACGAATTACTGGACTTTACAGAATGTAAAGCAAGCATTCGAAATGAATGAATGACTGAATGTAAGAATGAAAAAACAAAGCCAGTCTTAGAAACTTAATATAAGAATAAAATTTTCCCCCACAATAACCTAGTTAATTAATCCCATACAACAATTTATAGAAAGACATTTATTCGATACACATCCCATTTAACTGCATTCTTTTTTTTTTAAACAGAGCATGCATTCCAGTAAGAGTCGCTGTCCACCTTCGTGGTGCTGAACTATTTGGAAGTGCCTTTGTGCACTGTTCCAGGTTTATTGAAATACTTTAACCACGAATAATAGATGGGAATAAAACATCGCAGTGTGTCATTTAAATATGGAAACCTTAAAATATATTGTTATCTGCTCGCTTGCGTTTTGTTATCTATATTTGTGCTCAAAAGAACTCTGAGCCTACATCTAACATTGCCAGTAGATTGAAAAAAGAAAATCACTGTTGCTTTTCTACTGTTCCATTATCAATTAATCCAGTCAACGAAATTCAGTGGAAGATGTGTAATTAATGGGCATCCCATTTAACTGCATGTCTGTACCACATGTGCCATGTGTAAAATGTATTTGTGTTTCAAACAGGGCATGCATTCCAATAAGCGTCGCTGTCCACCTTCACGATGAGGAACAATTTGGAAGAGCCTTTGTGCACTGTTTAGGGCTTATTGAAAGACTTTACTCTAACCACGAATATTAGATTTGCATATTTAAAACCCAGTGTGTCATTTAAATATGCAAACCTTAAAATAAATTGTTATCTGCCCGCATGCGGCTTTATTATCTATATTCTGCTCAAAAGAACTCCTAGCCTACATCTAATGTTGCCAGTAGACTGAAAAAACAATTCACCGTTGGTTTTCTACACTATTTGGTACAGTCTATAAGTTTGAAAGAAGCTCATTACTCATTCAAAACTTAACTTAAATTCAGTGATATTTCTTTTAAAACTCTATGCTCACCTGCTGGCTCTCAAAGGTCCAGGTGCTGTCGGGCAAGGAAGCATCCAGAACACTGATCACCTCCTTAAAGTCTGTGGTGCTGCTGGGTTTAATCAGAGTGAAATCGCTGTACTCTGACATTGGAGACATACAGGACCTGAAGGACTGACTCTGAGACAGCATGTCTCCTCCCAGGACCTCCACGTACTTTATAGGTCCATCAGTGTTGAGCTGAA